GGGGCAGGACTGAGCTCTGCTCTGGGGGGAGCAGGGACAGCCCCCAGGGAATGGCTGGAGCTGTGTCAGGGCAGGCTCAGGGGGGATCTCAGGGAAAGGTTCTTCCCCCAGAGGGTGGTTGGCACTGAACAGGCTCCCCAGGGCAGTGGGCACAGCCCCAAGGCTGCCAGAGCTGCAGGAGGGTTGGGACGACAATCTCAGAGACAGGGTGGGATTGCTGGGGTGTCTGTGCAAGGCCAGGAGATGGACTCGATGATCCTGATGGGTCAGGATCCAACTCAGCATATTCTTTGATTCTATTCTCTATATAATTTCTACATATACATATATACAGTTTTAAGCTGTGCCAGGGGAGGTATAAGTTGGATATTGGGAAGAAATTTTTTCCAGAGAGAGTGCTCAGCCATTGGAATGGGCTGCCCAGGGAGGGGGTGGACTCCCCGTCCCTGGAGGTGTTTGAGGACAGCCTGGATGTGGCATCAGTGCCATGGGCTGGGAACCACGACGGGCTTGGATCAAGGGTTGCACTTAATTATCTCGGAGGTCTTTTCCAACCTGGTTGATTCTATGATACACATACACAAATATATGTGTGTATCTCTCTCTCTGACTCTAAAGTGGGGGTGCCAAATACACACATACATAAATACTTATCTATTATTTCCCCTGGGCCGGCACAAGCGCTCACGGTGCTGCTCACAGGGAGCCCGGTACGGGGTGCCCTCAGTTGGGACACGGTCCAGGTCCCTCCCCGGGCTCCTCCCGGGACCGGGGGCCTCTCCACTCCACGGGCCGAGCTCCCCGAGCCGCGGGCCCGCTCCCCCCGGGCAGGGCCGGGCCGGTGCGGCCCCTCTCCCTGCCCCTCTCCCCGCGGGCAGGGCCGGGCCGGCACAGCCCCTCTCCCAGCCCTCTCCCGCCGTACCTGAGCTGGCGGTCGTAGCGCTGTTCCTTGGTGCCGGCCCGGCCCGGCCCCGCCATGGCCGCCACTGCCGCCGCGCAGGCGCGGGCTGAGGGAGGGAGGCGGCGCGGGCTGAGGGAGGGAGGCGGCGCGGGCTGAGGGAGGGAGGCGGCGCGGGCTGAGGGAGGGAGGCGGCGCGGGCTGAGGGAGGCGGTGCGGGTCGAACGGGTCCGCCTTTTCCCTTGGCATGTGTTCGAAACATGCGGCCGTTCGCGGGGTTTACGTTCGAAAAAGGCGCTCCCCTCCATCTCTCAGGCCGGGCTGGGAGCAGTGCCCGCAGTGTGAGGAGCTGAGCCCTGCAGGCACAGCCCCCCCCGCAGCCTTCCCCTCACTCGCACTCCCCGTGTCCCCCAGCACAGCCCTGCCCTGGCCCGTTCATCGGCACCGACCCAACACTCTTTGCCCTCACGCCCGCAAATGGTATCAAAAATTACATTGTCTTCTCCACATCGAGGCAATTGGGCCTAATAACACTCACAGTCGGACTAAACCTGCCCCACCCAGCTTTCCTCCACATCTCAACCCGTGAATTCTTTAGCACAGTGTTACTACTCTGCTCAGGGTCCATTATCCAAAGCCTCTACGGAGAGAAAAACAAACAACAGAAGGCCTACAAAAACCGCAACAACCACTTCAAGCCCAACCATCAGCAATCCAGCCCTCACAGGAACCCCATTCCTTACAGAATTCTACTCAAAAAAACTCATAATCAAGAGTCTAAACACATCCTATGTAGACACCTGAGCATTACTAACAGAAATGTGTAAAATGTGGAATATATGAAATTTTCTTAGGAAAGGATGTTCTTTCATGCTTAATCGCTGTATACTTTCAAGCCTAATCAACAAGGAGGGAGATTTAATCTGTGGAACAGGGAGCAGCCAGCAAGCTCTAAGTGATGCCCAGGTATTAGTTAGAAATTACTTGAGTTATTAGAATTACCTTGTTAAGGTTTAGGGCTGGAGGTGTTTCAGTGATCTCAGACTCAGGGGAGGTTAACAAGGGTTGGCAAGAAGGATGTACCACTAATTTGGGCACACAAAGAATGCAGAACTTACAGGCCACAAGGACATTTGGCAGAACCCCCAACATAAGGAAGAAACCAATCAAGACAACTCAGTGA